GTTAAGGAAAAGCAATTTTCGTCAATTATTAATTTATCAATATCCTTGAATTTGTGGGATATTTTGATATCTGTGATCTAATTAAATAGCATTATTCAAAGATAATAAATTTTATAAACATCACTTAACATTGACTTCTGCAGTTTTTAATAGCTCTGCCACCTTTAGATCTCTCTTAAATACATAATCAGTTTTACATTCTAGCTTCCTAGCTGCTGTTGGACTATGGAAACTCTCCCTGTTTTGTTGCAAGAATATATCACTGTAGGGTGCACCCCCCAGACACGTGACATTTCCCATGTTTCTAGCAAAATCAGTCCAGCTACAGAAGCCCTGCAGGTACCTGCAAGAGGTGGATGACATTCCTTCAGCAGATTTTAAATCAAGTGAACAAATGCAATATTGCCATCAATGATTAAAATTCACTAAATTTTGCTGGAAGGAACTTCAGGGTGTAACTCAGCTTCTACCCAATACCTCCATACTAATGTTATTCCCTCAAGAGGAAAGAATGCTGTTTGTCATTCTGCTTTTATCCAGTCCTGTTATACTAAGTTTATTCCCTTGAGATGAGAAATGTTCCTTAAAATATCAGTATTTGAAAAATCTTACATTGTTCTGTCTCCCCAGCCACAAGGGGACTTTGGCATAGATTATGTTCATTTTCTCCTTCTGATGGTCCTTTAAGGAATTCTATTTTTGTAGCAGATGAGATTGGTACTTAGTGTGTTCCTCTTCCAGGTGCACTAATTACTTACCTAGATAATCTCTGTAACACTCAGTGAAAATATAAGTAGTTCTAGAAAATAAATCAAGTTGCAAAAGCCATTCTGGCATAATTTACTGCTCTGGTTGGCTGGAACTTTACTGTGGGGGTGGAGGAAAGGAAGGAGAGGGAAAAAGAATGTGCTTTCCTTATCTCACTGAAAAGCTAAAACTAATACAGTTTTTATATCATATAATTTTTTTCATTTGAGTTAAAATAAAACATTGGTGTAAGATAAACCCATTGGTTGCAGCAAGGCCTAAGGTACAGGTAGCCTGGACTGATTTCTCCCTCTGCCAGTGAGAACTGAACTGAAAGTTCATTTTCCAGAACAATGTCCCAGCTTAAAATGGAATTTTTTGCACATCTCTCTTAGTACTTACAACAGCTGAGAGTAATAGAAAAGTGAAGCATATTTCATGAATGATGTGTTTTTAAATACATAAACATCATGTCAATTTTGATACAAATCTTTTGTAATAACCACTACTTACTGAGGAAATTACCAAAGCAAAGCAAATAACATTTTCAGTAACTCACTGAGCTAAACAGCTAAACCAAGTGCCTGGATTAGTTCTGAACCGGTGTTCTTAAAATTAATACTCCACTCTGCAATGTGTTGACATTGGTGATTTATTACAGCTCTTACATTAAAAGTATAAGCAGATTTATAAACTTTGTGGAGTTAGAAATGCCACATTACAAATGAGGGGTTTTAGTTTAATGAAGATGTCTTATTGCTGTATGTATATTAAAATGGTTTTTTCCTGTGAAAACTAATAGTGGCGTATAAGAACTTTATGCCAATTTCATTTAGAGTGGAAAGAGCTTGATTGTCTGTGTGGGTGACAAGGGAAGGGAATTTATGATTATTAAAATATACTTCCAAACACTCAGTATCCAGGACTTCAATCCTAACTTTTTCTTCCCACAAAAGTAATCCCTCTTGCAAGTACAGATATTCAAAATATTGGGAATTTTTGAGTGGCATTTAATCATCCATGGACCACAGCATGGACCTGGCTCATGGCCCCTCAGACAAGAGAGGATGTCACCCAGAGCCTACTGTGTATGCTGCAACTCCTTGACTGACCCAGGAATTCTTAAATTCCAGTTGAAAGCCTATTGCTCCTATTTTTCTACTTCTCATCAAAAGGTCTTGACATCTCTTATTTAAAATAACGACAGAAATATTTGACTGAAAGGCATGACAATCTGGGGAAATGCTCCTATGGAAGCTGTTTCTTAACATGGTTTTCAGAAGATCTCTTTAGAAGAAATTGTTTTGCTCTGAAGGGATTTATGCTGCACAGCACTGACAGTTAAGTGCTAAATGGAATCTCTCCATGGGCTCTGTATTACTGTTGAACAAAGCACAGAAGATGAACACTAAATAAAACACTACACTTAAATACACGAATAAAAGTAAAGTCAGCAGAACAGTCGGTAATTTTTATGTTATATCAGCAAGTGTCATGTGCCAGGAAAAGGCATTCAGGTAACATCTCTTATGACAATAACTAGTTCTGAAGCAGTTGTTTTATTTAATTTTTTCTAACTCATGCTGAGAAATTTGAATAAGTAGCAGTCAGTGAATAAATGTATCATGTGAGTAAGTGATAGACTTTTAAAAGAAGAGAGAAAACTATGTGGGGAACACAAATGGTTCAGAATGAAGCTAAAAAGCTACTTTTACCATTTTAAGGAGCTGAATCTTTGATAAAAGAACATATCATGGCTGTGCCTGGAATAGGAAGGAGTGGAGCCTGCTCTAAATTAGCTATTGAAATAATGCCTGGATTTTTGCTACACAAAGGAAGAAAAGTAGTCTGGATTTAATCTTCTAGCAAGCAAGCCCATGCTCTGATAGTGAAAGATCAGAATACAGAGAAACTAGAGATAAGAGAAAAAAAAAAATCACAGTTCAGCAAAGCCACACACACACACACTAAAAAAAATTTTAAAAAATATTTGGATTATATTTGCTCTCGCAAAAAGAAATAAAGAAATTAAATTGATGTCCAGCAATACAATTCCAGCATTGGTGGTATCTGACACAGATGCTGTGGCTACAAATGTTACATCCACTGTGAATAGAGACCAAGGAAATCACCAGGCCTCTGCTGTGGAACACGACACATTCACCCAGACCAAAGGAAAAATGTGTTGTTCATGTCGAGTGCAAACACCCAGAAAAGAATGAGGGATCTTTTTCTCTTTAACAATCATTTACTGAAATCAGCCTGGAAGTTTGAAGTAGGAGGAAGCAGGATGCATGTAGTGAGTAGACGGAGGAAAAGTTACAGGGAAATGAAAAAGATGCAATAAGCTGGATTTGCAAGAAACCCATAAAGATTGTATCTTGATCAGATTGCTGGGAGACAAGGGGAGTGAAGTTTAAAATCAGCTACACCATGAAAGCACTTCAAGCAAGAGTAAAAACTTGAATTTAATAAGATTGCTGAGAAAAAGTATAGAACAAAGGCAATGATACAGAAAAAAATCTCTTTTCCTCCAAAAAATATATATTACCAGAAGTTCTGAAGACACAAGAAAGGAAATTTAAGAATTTCTGTTTCTAAAATGCGACAATAGTGCATCTACTTTAAATTTTTTTGAGTCTTGAATGAGATTTTCTAAATGAAAAATGAAATATCATTCAGCTTTAAAACCTGTGGAGTACTTTGTCTCATCCCAATAATTAAAGTATGCAGTTGTAACTCCTCATAGCAATACCCTTCCCTCACTAGGTTTTCATATAAACACAGATATCTATTTTGTAGAAATGTAGATCTTGTCATGGCCCTCCTGATACATTTTTCTATTGTTTCAAACCATACATCAGATGATATTCCCACATAGACATGGGATCACGTTTGCTCCCAGTGGAAATGGAAGAATTTATCATAATTTCTATGGGACACAAGATCCCATACTTGGAAGTTTTTGACAACTGGTTTCTCTCATCTAAATTTAATTCTCATACATTTATTATCTTAAAAAACATTTAAGACTGCTAACCTGCACATATTTTTTGTGTTTGTTTTCATGTTGTTCAGTATTGCAGCACAAAATGAGGGCTATGGAATGTGTCCTTGGGATAATTGATGGGGCTGCCATGGGATCCAAAATATCCTCCCATATACTAATGGGTTTTATGCCATTTTGCTTCTCAAATTTGTTTTAATGATTGTGACGGCTCTCATTTTTCCTTTGTTAAATCTTAGTGACTGTTACTGGATATTTATTTTTAGAAGCACAAACATATTACAAAAAATACATAAGCCCATTGAGGATGAATAAACCATCTCCATAGTAACCTTCTGGATAGTGATGTATGGCTGGTTGCAGACAGACTGACAAACTTCAGTCCTAACTCCACATCAAGATTTGTTGGCATAGAATCCTGAGCTCAAAAGTGACTTCAGAAGTGAAATACCCCTTTTTTTCTCTGTGGAAATTTGGCAGCAATGATCCATTTTTTCCAGATGTGGTTAAATAGGAAAATTTATTTTATTAGTTTTAATATAATCAGTTGCAAATACAATCAAGAACATCCCCCCAAGGCAAATGAATATTGTGGCTTTGTTTGTTTTTTCACAGAAGAAATTCTACCCTACTCATGTACTTTAAGCTTATTTTATAATACCTTTAAATTATATTTTAAATAGTTTGGTTTGAAATGAGTATTGAGATTGATGTCCATACAGTGCAATAAGAGTTTACATCTGCAGGATAATATTCACACTAGCAAGAAAGACTGTGCTATATTTTAAAGGGGAAGATTCTTAAATGTCCATTTGGGAATTTTTTTTCTCTCTAGGCTTTAATGTACCCATACCCAGGACTGCATTATGCACAGCCACTTGTGTAACCAGGAGCCATTTCCCAGGCTCACCCCTGTAAACATGAGTGAAGCTAATTTCCCTCAGCTTCCTTGCAGTTTGCATTGAAGCTCATATAACTTACTTGCTGTTTATGTATTTTACTGGTTGTCTATGTCAAGCTTTCATATACAAATCAGAGAAAAACATGCAAGCAACTATGATTTTTCAAGCTAAAAGACACCTTGTTATAGTGTATAGCAAATTAGGTGGGTTTAAAATCCACCCTTGAAATAGCAGCAATTTCTGTTCCTTTCATCTAAACAGTTCTGTATTCCAAGGGAACTTGGGATAATCAGTAGTTTGCTGTAGACATGAGTCATAATTATGTTCTTTCTTTCTCATTAAAGTTGTTCGAGTTCATGAATTTTTTGGCTGAGAATGTCATCTTCTGTTACATGGGACTTGCGCTATTTACATTTCAAAATCACATCTTCAATCCTCTTTTCATATTTGGTGCACTTGTATCCTTTGCTTTAAAGAAGTACATATCTCTGTACATGTGTGTGTGTGTATCCATGTAAAAAGAATGCATGTTCCATGTGAAAAAAAAGAAGTCAACAAGCAAGTCAATCATTTCCTTGAATACTAAAGATCATTTTTTTGTCTATTCCAAGTCATCTATTACCTATATCCCAATAACTGCCCCAATGCATATTCTTTGGATAGTTGCTGGTTTGCTCCTCTGCTACAGGCAAATAGCTTTAAACCAGCTGGGGAACTTTTGCCCATGGTTTACAGGTGGGGTGGGAAGTTGGTGTAAGTATTACGACATATATGTGGGGACAGGTGCAACACAAAACCTTTTTTCCTGTCTGGCACCAGTGCGGATTCACAAACTGAAGAGCTGCCTCCAGACAGATGTGTGCCTTAAACATGACTTCCCCAAAACTACTTAAATGATATGAAGTCCTTAATCACACAGTTCTGCTTTGCTTAAATCTTTCCTTCTTTATACTTGATATCAAGTATACATGGAATCACTTACACCATCACATGCCTAAGAGACTGGTAAGAAAAGCTCTGTGTCTTTAATTCTGCCATGGTTTCTCAACAATTATTACTTGTACGGTAATACAGATTCTTTTCACACTGACAATTTATACTATGTTTTCTTTTTTTTTGGCTCAGAGCCGCAGCCCTCTGCTTATCACTTTTAAATGGACTGTAATAGCTTTGAAAGTTGGGAGCATAGTGTTTATGTGCAGTAATTTCTATATGTCATTTCAAAATGAGCAATCAGGACTGCACCAGAGCTCCCTTGGCTCCAGGCTGGGCAGGATGGCAGCGAGGAGCCAGGAGCAAACTGTGTCCCAGGGCAACAGCACAGCCTGTCCTGCGCTCCTGGCATGGGCAGCCAGCATTGCCAAGGGCTGCCTGAGCATCCTCCTGAGCTGTGGGGCTGCCTGAGCATCCTCTCAAGCCATGGAGCTGCCTGAGCATCCTCCCAAACCATAGGGCTGAGCTCCTCCTGAGCTCTTGGTGCAGCCACTGGGACACAGACATTGCCTCTCAAACTCTTCACTGGTCCCCAGCTCATGGCGTGTCTCGGGCTGGAAGTGCCGTGACTGGGCTACAAGACAAGGGGAGGGCACAAAGGTGCAAATGTGCAAAAACATATATAAAGAGCTCTGACTGCCTTTCTTTAAACCTGATAATGGCCTCATGTTTTTAATTAAGGCAACTTCTGGGATAGTTCCACAGTTCCACATAAAGAACTTCATCAGAAGAAACTCCTCAGTGAAGGGGAAGAAAAGGCAAAAAATGCTGGGTATAGACAATATGAATTGCCAGGAAATAAGGAAGTAATAATCAAGTCCAAAAAGCACATTTATTCTCTGCAAATTGCTGCTCAAGGAGATAATGTTCTCCCTGCAATTGATGGTGGACATTTTCCTGAAGGGCTGAAGATGAAGTCACATGTGACAAATGTGATGAGTAGAAGTAGAGTGATTGAAGTGAGATATATTATGATGAATATAAAATCAGGATGTCTGGGGAAGGCAGATCTCTGCCACTGCACAGGAAGCATGAGAACATGACATGTAAAACATGAAGGAAAATAATATCATATTTGTTTAATTACACCTTAAAAATAATTTTAGGGAAATATTTAAGTTAACTCTGGTTTTGTCAGTAGTTTGTCCACTATTTTCCTCAACATCTTACATTTTAGGTGGCAGTTTTTGTAGCAAGAGCTTCCAACATATACCCACTTTCTTTCCTTTTGAATTTGGGTCGAAAACAAAAGATTCCCAGGAACTTTCAGCACATGATGATGTTTTCAGGTAAGAACTATTTGGGGTTTTTTGGTATTTTTCCTGTCCACATTTAATGAATGACAAAAACAGTCGTCTATCACTAGAAAAAGCCCTATTTATCACAAAGAATTTGTTATCTTAAAAGTCAAGGTCATCTCTCCAAAGCTACTGAAGCAAATGGATGCCTTCTGATCAACCTCTCTGTGCTCTCGACCTATTTTAATAAATGTTTTGGACACTCACTGCCCAGGAAGCCATCGTCTTTCAATCCACTGTCCCCCCATCTGTCTACACTTCCACAACAATTTGGGAATACCAGGTTTTTAAATTGTGTTGTTTTAGAGGCACCTGTAGTATAACTGAGAGTATTTTACATAGCAGCACATAAATATCCAACTTGGACAGTGTTAGTCCACTGATACTCACATCACACATGTTCTTTGGTAATTCCTTCAACTTCAAGAACAGTTTTACTTTGAAATATGAGAGGAGAACAATTCCTCAGTCTTTTTCATATGTATTCCAGCTTCATATTTAATTTTATTGATTTTGTTAACATTGTAGAATAATAAAAAAATATTTAAAATCCAGAAGAGGGAGCCATGTTCTAGTCTGATTTGCACATCATCCCCAGAGCTGTTAAAGCTCATCTGGATTCCATATTTTTTTACTTGTACAAGCTAGAAATAATTCCGCTTGACTTTCTGATGCTAGTTAGGAAAAACTCACGTATAATCTAAGAATATCTGTTCAGTAAAAGACAGAAATGCAGATGCCCCAATGTTATTGATGATATAATCTTCTAAAATTAAAAACTCAGCACCTTTTTTGCTTCTTTTTCCTGCTTTTTATGCAAAAATTTATTCCACATTTGTATGGATAAAAGTTCTTGATTGACAGCCTTGATGCACAGAGATCCATTTAGTCAGATAACGAGTGAAATACAATGTGCTGCACTTCAAGCTTCCTCATCGGGAGTACTCCACATCAGGAGGCCTCATTTGTGCCTATATAATTCCAACTCTCTAGGGAGCAACACAGCAGTTCATTTCTATACCCATTCAATCCTTCTGCTAAAAGCTGCCACTGAAAATGTCAGCTAATTCCAGCGAGGCTGGAGTGAGGGATGATGACACATCCAGCAGGAGCTGCCTTTCAGCCCAACTGCTCCCCTGCGATTGTTCCACACGCAACTTGGATCTGTAGATCCCTCTAGTAAGCCTAGCAGGTGGCCAGCTAGACAACAGCATGAAAAATAGCATCATAGCATTTGGTATCTAGTTCCTCGGTTCCATTTTGGCTTTTGGTTTTCATCAGCTGCAGTATAGAATGGAAAACCTTCTGAAATCTCTCTTATTCTTTCACTTTTCTGTCCTCATTTTCTGCAGTCGAATTTCATTCTCCACGGAGCAGGAGCAGAAAGCAGCCTGCAGCCAGCAACTGAACGTGAGAACTCACACACATTAGCTTTCCAGGACAATCTGGCAGCTGAGAACTGAAACAGTAATATTGCAGGCTTCTAAAATTTAAATGTTAAAATTCTCAAAAAAGTAATTTTTAACTACTTTCAAAGAAAAAAACCCCTCTCTTTTGTAGAGAAAAATGTTTTTACATTATAATAAAGCAATGGCATAATCTGCAACTATAATAATAAAGACTGTCTCTCATGCTGCCAGGACCTGCACACTTTACAGAACACAAGATACACAGATTTTGTGTGTAATTCTATTTTGTAAGATGCACCAAGATGTGTGCTTAGTTACCAATAACATTCTTAGTGCTGTGAACTGATCATACTGCATATAGATAAACAAAGAGGACAACAGCTGCCAGAAGAGAGACACATGTCTGATGACTAAACAAGACATTGAATTTGAGTTTGAAGGAAATTATCTACAAAGATCAGTAGCAACAGTCATAGAAGACCTTGGGCTGGAGGGGACACTTAAAGGTTATCCAGTCCAACCCCCTGCAATTATCAGGGGTATCCTCAACTAGATCAGGCTGCTCAGGGCCCCAGCCAACCTGACCTCGAGTGTTTCCAGGGATGGGGCATCCACCATCTCAGAGTGTGTTTTACCACCTTCGTTGTTCTGCTACAGCATCAGGTTCTAGTTGATCACAGGACAAAATGGCCTTCATTCACCACAGCATCACACCCACAGATGTGGAAAACAATGCATTTTGGGGTAGTTTTGTTTTCTATCATCATTACCAAATCCACCAAACATTTACTGATTGTTTTACTGCCACAATCACCAAAGTGATTGCTGAGAAAAATTGCTGAGAAAAGCAATTAGGGTAGGCAAGTACACTGTTGATTAGCATTTGATTATACCTTACTCTGCAAAGAACTCTCCTGAAGTCATTAAGTTCTGCTTTTTGATGCGTGTTAATACAGTTGAGGCAAGGTGGAAGAGCTGGGCTTGGAGGTGGATTATGGAGCATCTGGATTCATCACATTCTTCATCTGCTTCTGCCACTCCTCTAACAATACATTACAGAGGGTGGATTCACTTCTACAAATGTTTTTAATCATGATTCCTGATAACACTCCATTGTAAATGAAAACTTGATTAGTCCTTTATACTAGGATTAATTAAGCCTGAGCTTCTCAAATTAAATTGAACATCAGCTAAAATGAGCAGTCCATCAGTCTCTGCTCACGTGAAAAAGAAACATTTTAAAGTCTTAGCCTTTATAGCACCTTCCATTCTTCTCCCAACATCTTTATTTACTTTTTACTCTGCTTTCCTCTTCTCTACAACACATCAATAGGCAACAGAGAGGCTTGTGGGACACAGTGCTACAGAGGTGGTTGCTGTTAATGTGAGGCATTATGGCATCAGTGGAGTCTGAAAAGAATGAACACAAATGCAGAATTAAACCAAAAAATGCCTGTGTACAGGCAGCTGTTGTGCAGGCATTCACATCTACACACTCATACAGACACAGAGGTGGGAAGTGGCAGTGTGAACTGTCCAAGAGATGCAGATATGTGAAGAAATCAGCTAAACAGAAAAGAAAGCAAGGAAGCAAAGAGCAGAAAACTACAGCTGAAACCAAAACACCAAGCTACCCACAGAAAGTCTTATTTCCTGGCAGATTCTTTCCCCACCAACAACAAACACTCCAGCTCTCACTGAGAGGGCTGGGTTTGGAGAGGTGTTTGTGTGGGGTGTGGGCAAAGGATGGCTAACAGCCCTACAGGGCCCATGGGTTCTGCTCTGGGGGACTCTGGAGCTTGGCCCTGGGTTGGTCTGCTTTGAAAGCTCTGGCACATTAAAGAATATTGCTTAAAGATGAGTCCCTAATGGCTAGAAAAAAAAAAAGATCTGTTAGGAAATTTGTGATTCAGCCCAAGAATGAATGGATTAACAGAGATGTGGAGCTGCCATCACTGCACCTCCGAAAGATGAGGGGAGAGCATCTCTGCTAATGGTTCACCAGAGTTGGTCCTTCTGCTGCACTGCTCTCTCCAGGTGTAGCTGAGGTAACAAAGTTTTACAGAAAATTTATTCTTCCTTAACTTCAGTATCTCAATGTTTTTTGACGTTGTTAAAATTCCCTTCCTTCATTTATATTATTACCTGGAAAGTATTTATATATATATATATATGGTAGTGTTCCTTGCTTCTCTTAGAGTCCTTACATTTGAAGTGTATTAATCTGCTTCCCACTGCTTTTGTTGTTTAGTTTGATTATTTATTTTAATTTAGACATGTCTTTAGTTGAAACTGAATTATCTCTTACAGACCATGTTGAGCCTTTTATAAATGAAAAATGCAGAGAAGTCACTCACTATGTTTCTGAACTGAGGAAACAGCCAGTCCACTGCTCAAGAAGACATACTAATTAACTTTTATATGTATATATTTTTGTGTATATACATATATATATATCCCCTCTTACAAAAAGAGATGTTCTAGATTTAAAATTAAAGGTGTGATGCAATTGTGAGCAGCAGTGTTGTTTTCCATTGAAATAGGTGTAGCTGTGTTAATCATCCAGATTACCACTGTGACCACTGATATAAAGACCATTTCAATAGTAGTTCAGATACATGTTTAAAATGAGATTATATTCTTTCGCTGTTAGAAAACAGTAAAGCATCTGCATCCTTAGAGACATCTTTTACACAAAAGCAAAGCCAAGGGCAAGCCCAGTGTCTGCCTGCAGGGTTTTGAACCTGCTGCCACTGAGTATTTTCAGATAATGGAACTCCAGTCTGCTTCTTCCTTGCAGAAATGGCTGTGTGCTGTTTCCTGGATAAACTTCTATACCAAACAATTGGAAGCCCAGCTTCTGTACCAAATAATTCACATTCTAGCTATGTAATCTTGAAGAGCTTTGGGGTTCTAGCCCAAAAATAGCTGCATTTAGCAGTTAATTAAATGATTCTGCATATGTCATCAGTGCCTTACAAGAGGTTTGATTACTAGATTTAATCTCTCAATACTTTGCAAAGTACTTTTTGGACTCAGTGTGTATTGTATACACATAATGACTTTGCCCTCTACACTTGCTTTGTGAGATTTTTTTGGAAAATGATAAAGTACATTCAAATAGATAAATGAAAGGCACTGGAAAATATAGAGTATTATTTGTATGTTGCATTCTGAGGGCTGCAGGCACTAGCAGGCTTTTTCCCCCCTCAATTTTTAAACATGGCATTCTGTCAAGACCTATTTAGTCACCTCATTACTACCTATGGGGCTTTTAAAAAAAAAAAAAACTCATTTAGCTGTTTTCACAACCTTTATAATTTCTTGTTTATTTAGTCTCTGTGGGTGTATAATTCTACAACTATTATGTTTCAAGTACTTTAATTTATTCTGCATCCATTTTAGATATTTAAAACCATCTTTGAAAAACTATTCATTGTTTTTAAGTCACGTTTTTTCTGACTAGTCTTAGAACATTAAATTATTTTAAAGGAACATATTCTATATTTTCAAGGGAGAAATGAGTAGCGTATTTGGGTACAGATTTTAATGTCAATCTTCTTTTTCCCTTGCTCCTTACTTCATGAGTAGTCCCACTTAACACAGGATATAGATTTCTTTCTCAATCTGCATTAAATTCAGATTACTACTTAATTTGAAATTATTCAAGACAAAGAATTCAGTGTATGTAAAGCAAAAGTGTGATTAGTATGTGTATGTATGAGTAGTACTTTCACTGTTCACTTTTTCAGATTTGCTGCATTACATCCCACCCTTCTAGTTAGCATGATTCAGTACTTTATAAGCAGGATTATGATCTGAAAATTTCCTCTGCCCTTGGAACGGGTTTGGACTGAAAAGATTAAAATTCTGTTTCTCCCTCCCATTAAGTCCATCATCCTCGTGTTGTTTCAGGGTTACGCGGTGCGATTGCGTTTGCATTGGCCATTCGGGACACGGACTCCCAGCCCAAGCAGATGATGTTCACCACAGCCCTGCTGATCGTGTTCTTCACCGTCTGGGTGTTTGGGGGCGGCACAACACCAATGCTCACCTGGCTGCAGATCAGGTCAGTATTGTCTGTACAGCATCAGCCAGCAGAATGGAACCAGAGCCCTACGGATCAGTCACTATATCCTTACCACTTTCTACTGCTTATATGTGTTCTTTACGAGCTTTAACATACACAAAGGAAGTATTTATGTGCCTGTTAGAGGCTCCAGACCACAAGGAACAGGTTCTTCCTAACTTTGTTATGGGTTTAGATGTAGGTCAGACACATCCTTGTTTCCTAAGAGTTTGTTTCACTCCTGCTCCTTTTAAACACTGTGAGTACACCCTAATAGCGTCCTCCTTGCTGCTGAAGGAAGGCAGATTTTGTCCTCATCCCAAAATCTGTAGTTATTACACAAACATGTAATAAATCATGTATTTCTGATTATAATGAGAATATGCTGGAAAAATCTTCCTCCACTGCTGCCTTATTCAGGCATTAATTTATTATGCATTGTTTTTTATATTCTTCACTATATTATTTTTTAAATTACTTCATAGTCACTTGTATTCATTGAGAGCAATGAACAACAAGGGAGGTTAAATGACAAGGGAGAGAGAAGTAGAAAACTGGAGTAAAAAGGATCTAATTTAAATGCAGTGTCCTTCCAAGTGTGCTTTTTTGGAACCCAGCTTTTAATAATGAGCATACTCATGCTGGTTATTGATTCTGGTTACTTCATAATCCATTCAGAACTCCCTGCTGTGATTTGCAAGATCCCCACAGAAAACCTCAGTATCAAGATGGGCCTGCAATTCACAATTCTTTATCATTTATTCTATATATAGCATATGTTTTCCTTGTTTACAAAATGATGTCTGATTACAAGCCTTCACGTCAGACTCTTGCTATAAAATAGCAGCTGAAGATAACCAAATTGGGGCTTTTACAAAGAGCATAGATAAAACTTGCAGACAAAATCAGGACTAGCGTACAAGTGTACTGGATAAACATAAAAATGCAAGCATCCATGTACAGTGTGGAGGTTTTCTATTTCTGTGACAGTTTGATTCTTCTTCATGACATGTCTCATGTCCCATAATGTCAATCAAGACCATTACAGTTTGGATACACTCTGGCACTATCAGTCATCTTTCTGAGATTTGCCATTTTTTCACTGTCAGTCAGCAAGAGTTTTTTTATGTAGCAATGAAAATGTGGATGAGGAAGAGCTCTCTCATTAGATCTTGGGGAGCAAATCAGTCTGGGTTTCTATAACAGGAGATAAGGAATGATGCTGAGAGTACAGGAAGGGGAAAAGTCAACGTGCAATCTAAGTGCTCATGGCTTAGCTCTCTAGGAAGTTTTAAATTAAGATTGTGAAGTGTTTTTACTAACAAGCTGTTGAATTGGATACAATGGTATTTCTTCTGCTTAGTGCTACCCAGAGGTGCAAAGCCCCCCAAGACCACAAGTGAGGGGCTCTCATAAAAACTGTTTATACTGTTCAATATACATGCTTCTTTCTCTGACCTCTTCTACAATAGATTTCACCAAAGACACTGAAAGTAGACAACCATTATTGATTTGAAATGCTCATCTCTGAGGATTTCCTCTGAATCCCATCAGATCTGCCAGACATTTTTACTGACAAAATTAATTGGGTTTGTAATCAGGATATAGATTTTCTTACTATAAAGCTATTAGGTTCATAATTTCCACTAAATTTCTTGCCATTAGAACATACATCTTCATAAATTATAAGGGGGTCAAATTGAGAGAAAATTTTAAATAGACATCTTTAATTACAAATGTATCTTGAGGGTCTGATTTCTCCTTCTAGTAAAGATGTTTAATTGTCTTTATAATTTATTACATTTCAATGTGGAATTTTGTCCTTAGCTACTAGCATTTGTCTTTTTAGTCTTAAGTAATTTTGCTAAGTAATTGTATTTAAAGGTGGTGGTAATTCATGATAATTGACACTTGTATGGATCCCAGCAGATAAGTTTGCTGAGGAAAGCACAGGTAATCTAAACAACAACAGCTATTCACCTTATCAAAATCAAGTGCTTACAGGAAATTAAAAAATGTATAAAAGGTCACAGTGACTACACTGGCTTTCCCTACATAAATTACAAGCTGCTGTATAGATAAACTATCTCAGGAGAGAATGGTCAAAACCAGCATGATCAAGCAAATAACAGTTCCAAGCAGAGTGTGCTTTTTTTGCCAATTTTTCATCATAAAATGATTATCCAGCAGATAATATATTTAACTGAACTGGAGGCATTCAGAGACTAATAGAGAGGAGCATGTGATTTCAATCTATTTGGATGGATTGAATTTCATTCACACGCACTGTTTTGTGTCCTCTCTCCCTCTGTGAAATAGGCTCCAGTTCCTGTCCTTAGTTCAGGAGATGCAACTCTAAACTCCCCAAGGTCGATCAACTCAGTCTTATCCTAGAGATAAACACTTGAGTTTAGTTTATATGGTACCAGTTTACCCACAGTTTGGATTTTAAGCATAAATAAATCTATCATCCATTCAGCTCAAGATATGTAAAAATAACATAAATCAGAAAGAACTCACACCAATATATTTACCATTTGCTCTGCCATAATGCAATCCATTAGGGCACAGGACAGTACTCAGATCTGTACAGCCTTCTTGCTGTATATTATTGCTCACATATTATTTCATTTATTGCACTCTCCATAATTTAAATTGTGAAGTTCTCACAAGAGTGAGCTGGACTCTTGGTGTATAAAGGAATAGAACAATGACAATTTTAAAATAAGAGTAGGAATGGAACTTCTTCTGAAAAAAATCAGTCTTTGTCTCCATAATAACTGGAATTCCCATAATTTTCCTCCTCTCCTCACAGAAATAGCATCAGATCCACTCTTTTCTTTTTCAGTTAAAATTTAACATAATGTAAATAGAATCTGTCACTCTATTTTTAGAGAAAAGATTAGGATGTGTCCTCAGAGATAACTACCAGTGGATTTATTCCAGGAATATGTATGACTTATAACACTTCCAAATTGTTGCTAAAACATATAGTAAGATACACTATCAAAATTGACCATGTGCTACTGAAAAATGCTCAACTTCCATCTCCCATTTAATGCAGCAACATCAATTAGCTGTGTGGCAAGAAACTAGCTAAGAGCTCTTGTAAAAAAAAGCTTAAATGGATCCCAGGAACTCACTAAGTTTATTAATAAGAATTCTTGTTCCCCTTATTTAACAAATGAATTATATTAAAACATATATTCTTACTTAAACTCTATCTTGAATCTAAGAAATGTTCTTAAAGCCTTGGAAATATGACCTTCTAATGACAGAATTTATGTCTAAAAGTGTTTATATGCCAAAACACAGTTTTATAAGAAATCCATACCAACAATTCTCATTTTACTACTGCATTTACTCATACGTAGCAGCCTTCAAAATGAGTCTTAAAATTCTTGACAAAGACTGAATATTTCTTAACATTGTTCTAAAAGAATGAAATATACACTTTCAGAAAGTTCTTATTTATTTTAGCTCTCTCCTTTCTAAACACCTGAAACTGACTTTCAGGGGGTGTTTAGTGTTCCCTTTCTGAAGATGAGGTCATATTTAAAGTTCCCAGTTGTCTGGTGCAGTAACTTAGCACTTCCCAGCACAGAGGCACATGCACGGTGTTTACAGCATTATCAGCTGCCATGCCAAGAGCAGAACTGGCTACACCACGTTCCTAAATAACACATTGTCTTTTGACTTATCTGACAGTTGTAACAGGAAAAAATTTTGCTTTTACTCCCCATGTGAAAGGACTACAATACTCAGTTCTTGGCAGACAATGAATGAACCTGGAACAGCATGTGAGAATAATTTCATAACACATCAACACCAAAACAGAGATAGCCATTTGAGTTCGCAGTCAAATTGAACTATTCAATAAACGTGCCTTCAGAGATGTTGAGCATTACTTGCTAATGCTTTTGGATATATGATTCCCTTCATTCCCCATACTCTGATTAAAAACAGAGAGCTACATTTTACAGTAAATCTGCACTGAGAGGTTTGAGGATAAAGGATTCTCCTGACAGGCAGAGCAAAAATTCAAAGCTGTTAATAAAACCTGTCCTATATAAGCATTGTGCTAAATATCAGGTCTTCTTTGTTTATCATCACTTTTTGTGTAAATGTTTGTCAAGGGATTTCCAGACTCTTTGTGCATCTCTTTGCGCATCTCTTTGCAGAAGTTCTTCAGTTAATAGGAAGACTTTTATTCCATATTCTAAATAAATATTAAGCAGCATTGAATAGTAACTTTTACTACTGTGCCTATCTGACCATTGCTGTTGGTAAATGCATTTTAGAAAAGAGCTGTTTGTGTGCCTGGCTGCCCTTAAAATCACACCATTTCTAGTTCACCTAAAACTTCAATTCCAAACTTCCAACTTTCTGTCAATTCTGAGGCCTGGCATACCCCATTACTGGGGGATGACCAGGGCTGATGAGCTCACATTCTCAGCAAAAGCATCTCACCCAGCAGTAGTCAACATTTTGGATCCTTCAGATTCCAACAGCTTGTTTCAACATCAAAGGGTAATGCTGTGCATATGTTTGCCAGAATGGCTCATTAGGGATGTAGATGGGCAGTGGGATGAAATGCTGAGCCTTGGCTGTGTATGACTATGGCTGTCTACCACAAAGAAACCCAAAAACCAGGGTTAGCAGAATATGATTCTGTATTTATCTCAGCCCTTTAACCACTAGTTATAGACTGCTGAAAGACAGAACTTTTGACAGAGCAACCACAGTAACAACATGATCTTGGCCAGGATTACAGCACTACTGTTTCAGTGACAAAAATATTCTTTTCATTATTCCTGGACTCTCTAGTAGCATTCCCTGTGTTCAGCTGTGTTCAGGGGGTGCTGCAGAAAGGCCCTGGACAGAATGCTCTCCTGACAGGTGATCTGGGCAAGGAGGCTGCAGTCAGGTGCAGTCATCCTGTTGGCTTGCTAAGAGAAGTCTCATCAGAATATTGTGCTGCATCACTGAGTGCTGCTCTG